ATGGCCAAGCCTGTAATTATTCAACTTTCTTGCTAAGAGTTACTGTAGCCTTTTTCTTCTGGCTGTGCATTCAAATGAAGTTCAGAAATAACTTCCAGGGAAGCCCTGAGGTCAGCTTGGATTCAGCCCAATCTTCTCACTTTCTGCGTGATGGAGCAAAGATAATTCGATTCTTAACGATGACTGAATCATTCCAATACTGAATCACCAATGATTAAATTATGTTTGATAAACATCTAGTATTTTCTAAAGCAATAAAATAGATTAATGCATTTTAGGAAGACGTTAGAGCAAAGCTCAGGCCAAAACAAGCTCCTGCCTTAACCTAGGACAACCAGAGCATTACGTTTGCAGAGATGCCACTTCCCCCGAAATGTCAGTGTGAATGGCTATCTTAGAAAGTTCCAGAGTAATTCAAGACCAGTTTAATTTATTCCAGCACAGAAGCAATTTCATGAAAGACAACATTGTAATTCAAATCAATAAATGGTTTGGTTTGAGCTATAAAACCATAAACAGAGCCTTTGCGAAATGTTGCTTACTGTTCCTTCTTGCTATAAACCATTTGATTTTCAGCCAGAAAACATACAGCCAAGTAATAACTGTTTGCCTTCCTTAATACTCAGTGTAGACTGTTATGCAAGGAATCGAGCATTAGTCATCAAGTTCAGTGTAAAGATAACAAAATACTTAGAATTCCTAAGTCATCACCCATTTCAACATTGAGAGGTGAAGATGACCCCACACAATAGGTGGTCTTTCTTCTTGTAGAAGTGGTCTCAGAGTTCCCTGGATTCTCAGCTCCCAGCTCCGCTGTCAGAACCCCCTACTTCCTCTTGAGAGCCCCCACCGACCTCAGGCAAGCCATTTTCTCCAGAATCAGGAATGGGCACCAAAAAACCTCAATCCAGTCTGCAGGTGATGATTATGAGCCAGAAAGGGGAGCCAGGGTGGAAAGCACGTGAAACCGGCCTGTTGCTCAGGCAGCAGACATAAAGGTGCAGAAAACCCTGACTGGATTTCTTTCTAATTGAATTTAATTTCTATCTGCCAGCCTAATTGCTCTGATGATAAAAAACTTGACCTTGGTCAACTCAGGTTTTCCCCCCACCCTCCTGTCTCCAGAATTGCCCTCAAGCTTTGAAGGATGACCATAGCATTAAGGAGAGGGATCGGAGGTCCTGGTGCCCCCGTCTCTTCCTCTGTCCATCCTGGGCTCCCCTGTTGCATGCATCCCCTTGCCTACTGGCGAGTCAGTTCACGCAGACCCTGTCTGAACCCTGTATCCTCATTGTCCTGACCACAGAGCTTTCTAGGCCAGCTGGTTCTCCATGTCACGTTCTCACCAATCAGCCTCCCGGAGAACATTGTGCTGTTCCCTGCTCCATACTGAGGGTCACGGGAATGCAGAGTGGGGCCACCCCAAGATCCTCAGCTGAGGCACCTTACAGAGCCCCTTTGGTCTGCAGCTTCATGTCCTTGTCCAAGGATGGATCCCAGACTCCTGTGAAGTTGGACATTCCAACATAGCCCATCCCACTCCAAGAACACAGCTTGGTAGAAAGAGATAGCACTCAGGGCCCCTCTAAGGGCCCCACGATGGCTATCCGTGATGAATTTTCTATCTGACTCACCCTAGACCAGGGAGTTTTAATCTCTATGGGGAAACAAATCAGGCTTCGCAATAGTCTTCCAAATAACCTCAGCTTTGAAACCCAAAAGAAAAAGTATTAACTTGTGTTTCTCTTGATATTCCGACCCCACTACCTCTACCTAAGAATGCTCCTCTCTCAAAAATTCAGGGAATATTAGCGGTAACCAAACATACTTAGGGAAGGCAAATAAATTACTATTTCAAAATAGTATCTCTCAAAAGAATTGAGATTCAAATATCTCAAGAAAGTCGGGGGG